GGGAATGCACATGCTCACTGCAGTTCGCATATTCCAAGTTAAGCTTTATTCAATACACTTTACTTATCAAGTCTATACAACCTAATGTATAATTGCTCATCTTCAGTTAATGACCTAGCACCTGCACCTAAGCATATTCTCAAGTTAGGCTAACCCCCAAACAATCAACGATTACGTTGCAACACATTCAATCAAGCATTTGTATTTCAGCAAATGAAGACTATATATCGGTACATTAAACTAGCCATAACTGGAGATGTATAATTCCAAATGATATGAAACAAGACAATCTGGAAAGCTTATGAAATTGTCTATAATTCATTTTTAGACCTCAAAGCATGATTCGACACTTTACCAGCTCGAATTCCTAAATCAACAGAACACTGTCCTACAAGACAGAGAATAAGCAAAACAGGAACCTAACTTTAAACAGCTGTAGTTTTTAAACTACTGGGCCAAATGCCCTCAAATTTTGACAGGAGCTAGATACATAAATTATCTACAACTCTTGTATTCATCATATTCACAGAAAACCAAAATATCATGGGGAACTTTCTAAAGTCCCCAGATCTGTCCAGAGGGACATAATGCCAACAAATAATTAGCAACTTATGATGTAAACATATAATTAGACAAAACCAACTTTACTATCTTATCACACATATCCTAAGAACACCAGAAAATAGGATGTCCATTACCAAAACATTTCTTTTAATACCTTTCTTAATTTATTTAATTAATTAGGGAAATAGTAAACATATATGAAAACTGCCCCATTAATTCTACAAAAATTACAGTAGACACTACATACTCTAAGTAGACTACCATATAAAATTTCACACCATTTGAGCAAGTATAAAAGCCTACACAAAAATGACAAGGCATAATGGCTTAAAATGGCATAATTAGGAAACCCTAATGAAAAGTGTCAAGCAACAGATTTCATATTTTTCCTAGCATCCTTAGGGCACTAGGATACTACCTACCAAGTTTCATGGCCATTGGATTCCTAGATTATTTACTAAAATTTACACAAGAATCATCCAATGATAAAAGGAAAATCTATAACTCAAAAACTACACATGCAATGACTCTCAAATTTTAACCAGAGCTTCTACTATACCATACTAGCTTACCCACAAAATTTCACAATTTTTGGATCACAGAAACTCAAGATATGATTTAAACAAGTTTGCATGCAATCAAAAACACTTTTCAAGTTCCTATTTAATTCATCCAAATTTTCTACATGATATGCTCAAGATATATTTTTATTAAATACTAGACCTAATAATGAGTCTAACAAAATTGGAAGAACTCAATTTGGATCTACCAAGTAGGAGTTACAAAATATCAAATCAGCACTAAAAACTGGATTTTTGAACTAGCTTATGTTGACAACATCGACAGTGAGGACCCGCTTTGTCACCGGGCCCATGTGTCATAGACACGAAACAGGGGAGACGACGCGACCGGCGGCTGGCACGACGGAGCTCACTCACGGCGGTGAGGACTCCGCGAAAACCGACGGCTGCCGGCGTGACTACCACTACCACCCGCGTCGATTGACCTACTTAACCTAACCTCAATCGACCTCTAGGTACACCGCCATGGCGCGTGCTGGCGGCTCGGCCATGGCACACAACGGACTCCGTGAAGTCCGCCATGTATATGGCGGCTAAGCTCGGTATGAGCTACAAGGAGTCGCAAAGGAAGCTAAAGGCGCCGCGCTATCGAGGCGGTGGGGTCGGTCGGGGATGAGCCGGCCATGGTGACGGGTGCGGCGGTGAAACGCCCGGCGAGGAATGCGCTCAAGACAACGGCTTACCAGCGTTGCCGGTGAGCAAACGTGGGCGTGAGGTGACGGTGGAAGCACAATGGAGGTCCTGTGGCGGTGTTAGAGTGGCAAGGCGTGAGCGGGCCAGCAATGGCGGCAATGGCCTTCTCGCATTGCCAACAACATGGAGGAGAAAGAAGAAAGCAAGAACCGGAATGGTGGCGCTGGGAGGCTCACGGCGCATGCGATGCGGCTTCAAGACGGAGGACACACCGGCGGTGGGTCGAGCCAGCCACAGTAGCGTGGCTGGGCGGTCGGTCGACCCGGCGACGCGGCCCCATCACGCAAGGCGTTTTCAAACGGAGGTTATCTGTAGCTTGATGAAACTCGATTGATTAACCTTATCGAGCCTGACAGTGAAGATTGATTGCGTTGGATTTCTCAATTCATGGAGAATCAGTGGACACAATGTACATGAAAGTTGTAGAGTTATAGTAGGGCTACAAATTTGGTTTAGCAATCAACAGCCAGTTCTCCACGGATCACAAGTTATATCAAGCCAAAGTTGAGGTCATGCAACTGAAACTCAGTTCCAACACTTAGAAAATTTCAGAGTTTCTAAAAAGATCTCAAAACTGACTTGTGGGACCTTTTTGAACATGTTGTGCACATTTTCATGAGATGGCTTCTAAACAAAGTTTGTTCCTTATTAAATTTACTACAACTTTGCTTTAGGTTGCTCAAGCATGCATAGACTCTAAGTTACACTTTTTAAACAGTCAAACTCAGGAGCTCTAGGGGTCCAAATTGGTCAACCATGACTTGGAAACCTAATTAGACAAAATGATCAACATGAACCTTGTTCCTAATGACATTCTAGGTGTAACTAAGTTACTTAGTATGATTATTATCCACACCACACATTGGTCACACAAGAATCAATCAAGGTATACACTGAAACGATGAAAACACAAGAAATGTTGCAATTGTTTCATAGTCATGTTTCACATATTTCGTGATCTTGTTGCATCGTATTAACTAATCTTGTTTCACTAAGTGAGTGGCACATGTTGCACTTAAGCGTTGCACACTTTACATTTCATAAAGAACAACACACATGAAATCTACAACACGTTGCAATGTTTCAAATTTATGTTTCATGTGCTATAAGTTCACAAAGGGATGCATGATGCTCATGTTCATGAAATGCAGTGCAAATGTGGAAGCCAAACACCTGGGGTGTTACACGTAGCCAGCCTAATAATTGAGTCAACGGCTCTATTTCGTAGGGGCTTCTATTTAAGCCACATGGCCGGCTCAAGCTCTCTCTCTTAGCCATTTGTATTGACATAGCAACCTTGTGAGCCTAGCAAAGCCCTCCCACTCATTTCCATCATAGATTAAACATCTTTGTGAGATTAGGATAGAATCCAAGTGCATTGCTTGAGTGTTTGTATCTAGAGGCACTTGGTGTTCGTGTTTCGCTGTGGTATTTGCTTGTTACTCTTGGTGGTTGCCGCCACCTAGACGGCTTGGAGCAGCAAGGATCGTTGAGCGGAGGGTGGTGATTGTCTCCGGCTCCGATCGTGGTGATTGTGAGGGGTTCTTGACCTTTCTCCGGCGGAACGCCAAAAGGTACTCTAGTGGATTGCTCGTGGCTTGTGTGATCCTTATCTTGTGTTGGTTGTGCGGCACCCTATTGAGGGTTTTGCGTGTGATGCCAATTAGCGCGTGAACCTCCAAGTGAGTGAATCGCCACAACGAGGAGTAGCTTGCCGGTAAGCAAGTGAACCTTGGTAAAAAATCATTGTGTTCATCATTTGATTCCGAGGTGATTGGTCTTCATTGTTATTCATTCTTGTGATTGATTGGCTCCTTTATCTACACGACGGTATAACTTTTTTGATCACTCTCTTTACGTTACCGCAAACTAGTTGTCAAGCTCTTTAGTGTAGCTAGTTGTGAGAGCTTGGTTGGTTGGTTGGTGTGGCTCTTTAGTTAGCCTTTGAGAGCATACTAACATAGGGTAGTGTCATAGCTATTGTGTGAATAGATACTATCTAAACTAGAATTGTGGTAGGTGGTTTGCATTTTTAGGAGGCTAGCGCAACACTTGTTTCGCCTCATAATTGTCTAACCAGTTTGTTAAGTGTTGTTGTAGAAATTTTTGTTAGGCTATTCACCCCCTCTAGCCATTAGGACCTTTCAGCGAAGGAGATGGCGGCCAGCGGAGCGGAGGCGCGACGGAGAGGGAGGCGTGGTGGAGAGCGCCATTGCCGAGGCCGCGCAGTGGAGCACGGTAGCGGAGAGCTGTTGTGGTGCTGCGGTGAGGTGAGCTTTTTCTATTTTTCTTTTACAACGGTGGGGGCGAGTGGATGAGCAGATAAGATGCAGCTGTTGTGCTACGTCATGGCCCACCGTCGGTACCGTCCGGACGGACGACCTACGTTGGAACAAAGGCTTGCAAAATTCCTATGAGATAGTCAAAGCTATAGGAATTTTGGAGGAAATCTAACAGGTGGTTCAACCTCTTAATAAAGACTTTCATTTGTGTCTATCTCTCTTTTATAAGTCGCGTGTTTCTCCTGTGGTGTATCAAATGCTCCATTAGAGAATTTCCGTGTTTTCAATTTATGTAAAGATAGCAAGTGAGATGCAACTCCAAGGCCCTCTCTGGAGTATGGGTATTTTTTCCCGTTTCTATGTTTTCCACGTGAAAATAAAACTGATTCTTGTAAAATTCCTGTATCCCAAACATGCTCTAATCTTTTTTTTTCTTCTTATTCCTATGTTTTGGATATCCTATTTTTGAAAAGGTCCAGACTTATAATTTTGGAACCGACGGAGTAAGTTATTTTTCAAGCACTCGATGTAAGTGCGTTTTAAGTTTTCCAGACTTTGTACCTCTCCTTTTTGTGCTCATATAAATGAAATTCTATGTTGCTCTTTGTTCGGTTTAGGCAAATCCTATACTGTTCGAAGTGCTTTTCTAATCTTCAAGCCACAAGGGTATTCCACTATTTTGTCAATCCAAAATCTTAAATCCAAGCAAACACACATCACATGTAAGCAAAGAACATATGATTTCTAATAATGTTCACATTTTCGAAACTCTGTTTCAACGAAGAAAAAGCAAAATTTTCTCTCTGGTCTCTGCTATGGTGGCTGCTGGCCTTCTCCCGGTTCAACTCCAAAGTCCAAACGACCGCCCTGGACCTCAGAGATGGCGGCATCGCTCTCCAAGCACCTCCGCCTCCGCCTGCGCGGCGGCGGCGAGCACTGCCTCCTCCCCTCCCGCGCCTCCACTTCCCACACCTCATCACCAGCACCTCCCCCTCCATCGCGTCCTCCCGCCGCGGCCGAGCCGCCGCCGCCGCCAGGTATCCATCTACCCTAACAATCATCGTCTTCCGAAATGCCTTGCGAATCACCTGCAGATCGTGTCGCGTCCCACTCGCAGGGGCAGGCAAGGAGGCCAGCGCGTGGTCCAAACTCTTCCTCTTCGCTCCCGGCGCCATCACCTTCGGCCTCGGCACATGGCAGCTCTTCCGGAGGCAGGAGAAGGTCATACCGCGCACGCGCGCTCATTACTTCCTGCTTCATTTTGTTGGCTTTCGAGACCTTACCGTGTGCAGTTTCCTGCTCGACCTCAGATAGAGATGCTGGATTACAGGACACGGAGGCTGGAGATGGATCCCATGGCGTGGAACGAGGTCGCCTCATCCACCGCCCTTCGTGATCCGGCAGCACTGGAGTTCCGAAAAATTGTGTGCGAGGGTGACTTCGACGAGGAGAAGTCGGTATTCGTCGGGCCTCGCTCTCGGAGCATCTCGGGTGTGACAGAGAATGGGTATTATGTGATCACTCCATTGATTCCTAGGTCGACTGAGTCTGGCAGGTAAACTATTTGGAACATGCTCAGAATCCCTATCTTTCAAATTACCTTGAACATCAGCATTGCACTCTTGCAAGGAAACTATCACTCTGATTGAGCATGATGTCCTTTGTGAAGTCCTTTTGCAAAGCTACTACTTTTTTTTGAGACACACAAAGCTACTACATTTCGACGAATATGCATAGAAGCTTGGCTATGGTCAAATTGGCAAATGACGACTTAGTCAAAAAGAATTCAATTAAGAAAAATTCTTCAAAAAAAGGTCAAATGAAAAGATGATCCAAGATCAGATATGATCATGCGAAGCAGCTAGGAAGGCGCGCCTTACATTGGAGCCAATCCATCACAATTGAATTAGAAGAAAAGATGATCCAAGATCAGATATGATCATGCGAAGCAGCTAGGAAGGCGCGCCTTACATTGGAGCCAATCCATCACAATTGAATTAGAAAAGATGCACAAGTTAGCAGTGATTTAATGCTTTAGATTCTAAACTGGCCCGGTTTATATGCCCCCTCCATTGCCTTTCTTTGTAAAATGAAATTTTCATTTGGCTATGGATCATTTGAAAAGTTATGTAATTATCTTCATTGAAAATTTACAAAGCTTGCCTAGATTCAAACACTCCTGTTGGTTTATTTCATGTATCGCTAAATGAATTGAAAGTCGAGAGATAATACAGATTGTAAAACCATAGTTAGCAACAGTTTTATTACAGCGGAAGCGGATGTATGTGCGCGGGCACGAGCGTCCGTGTGGCATGGATAGGGGTGGGGATGGGGGTTCAGTTTTAATTTGTAGCTGTCCACAGAGAGCGAAATTACTTGTTAAGTATGCATGGAAGGAACCTGTATGGCCACAGTTGAGTGTTTGTGCCTTGTGTAATCTGATAACTTCTTTGTTCTTGGACCAGTACATGCAGATTTATGAGTGACTTGTTTGCTATGCCCCTTTGACTTTATCTCCCACACATTCCTGTCATAGAAATCTCATAAATTTAGTATTGCCACTGTTCTGTACTCCACCATTCGACCATATATATATATATATATTTAAAGAGTTTCAGGGATCTCTCCCCAGTCTTAACTGTAACTAGAAGACTGTCTAAACGGTTTACACTTTACAGCATTCATGGGGTTACCCAACTTCTGTCGACAGCACTCAAAACACCTTGCCTAATACAGAGCACACCTAAAGATCAGGGAAAGTGCAATACAGATATCACTACTCAAACCAGCAACTACATAACAGAAACTACAACCTTTCTGCAAACTAAAGTCTATTCCCAGACTGCTCCCAGCTTCAGCTTATGTCAGGTTACTGTTCCATCAGTATGCTTAGATCATGGCAGCATCACTTCAAGTCAATCCACTTGCCAGTTTGCACCGACTCCTCGAAACTTCTTTTTTATAATTATCTCCTCGCAACTTGAAGACTCACTGATCAAATACTTCAGTGCATGTGCATCCGGTAGCTTGTCTGAACCCCAATCGAAGGCCTCCGGCTTCAGGACCGCCAGCATCTTCACATCCAGCCCATACTTCAACCATAGAAATTGGGGAGGCCTATCTGACACTCGGCGAGGGTAAGGCTTGCCACTAACACCCTTCCCCAGACCCCGCACAGAGCGGGAGCGGGAACTGGATACGCCCTTTTTTTTTATCTGACACTTGGCAATTTTGCCACCTCCCACGCCTGAACTTTTTTATGGCCAGCAGATGGGTGGAGCCGGCACCTCCTCCTCCGGGTGACATTGATTTCCTCCAGGTAGCTTTTGTGGTGGTTGGGGTGGGCTTAAAGGGATGACCTCCCGCAGCAGATGGACCGGCAGTGGGTGAGTTCGGTGCTGGGAGCCGCTGGAGATGAGGAACAGAGGCAGGGTGGTGAAGACAACGCAGTAGAGATGCTTGCTGGAGTTGAAAAATAAGATGCTGCCATGCTGGGGGTCGGGGTGCGAGGTTGAGGCTCGATAAGTCCATTGGTATCGGAGGCAATGCCAGCAAGCTGTGGCAGTGGAGTGTCAGGTCATATGGTGTGTGAGAGAAACTGGACCGTTACATCTGCTTGATGGACGGCTCAAAATTCTAGTGTATGATGGGCCAAAAATGCCAAAGTGGGCTGTAGAGAGTCCCTAGGAATTTGAAATCAATCATAGTGTTTTACAGGTTATCTTCATCTTTCTAAGAAATGGTTGGTCAGCTTGCAGTCACCTATCCTTGTGAATAGAGGATGGGTTCCTCGTGGATGGCGTGATAAAAACGTTAAGGATCTCCAGATCCTGGATGAAGCTTCAGAGTCCCCAGAAGCTGTTAAAAAGCCAGACGAAAAAGGTTCATGGTGGAAGTTTTGGTCTAACAGGCCTAAATCGTCTCCTGAGGTGATCTTTGTTCCCTATCTTTTGGGATAGTGTACAATCTGTTACCTGAAATTCTAAGTGTATCAAACTGTCAAAAGCTTGCTACTTTCTCTTCATCAAATTCAATTGCCACGTGTTTGTGTGTGATGTTATAATGTTATTATCTTGTGTGTGCCATGGTATGTGAACTCCTTGTACATGACAGTGTTGTGAGTTGTCACAACCCTTTTATATCGAATAAGTTCTAGTGTTCTACTTACTAGACCTGCTATAGATCATTTGTGCCTTCTAGAATGATAATGGTATGGATAGGCTGGTTGTTGGGTGTTTGTGACAATTTAATCAAATAATTAATATTATGCTTCCATAAGTACTTTTCTTGCTTACTATCATTCAAAGTATCCATATCCCTCTAGTTGTATTTGTATTGCTTCAATTAGGCACAAAATTTATGCAAGTTGCCTTTTGCAGATTGAAAAACCTAGGATACCACCTGTAAGAGTTATTGGAGTAATCCGAGGAAGTGAGAAGCCAAGCGTATTTGTCCCAGCTAATGAGCCCAGTAGTGGCCAGTGGTTTTATGTGGATGTTCCCATGATTGCTCGTGCTTGTGGACTTCCTGAGAATACTGTTTATATAGAAGATATAAATGAAGATGTTTCTCCGACAAACCCTTATCCTGTTCCAAAAGATGTCAACACCTTGATTCGTCACTCAGTGATGCCAGAAGACCATCTTAAATACACGTTTACATGGTATACACTTAACCTCAACCTGATTGCTCTTTGCAATTGTATTATTTCATAGTTTCATCCTCTGTTAGTTTTTTTGGCTGTTGTTACTAATTCACTCATCCTGATAGATACTAGTCTATTATGCTCTCATCTGGTTGTTTGGAGTTTGGACAGTAATCTCTGACTTTATCGGACATGCATGGTTGATAATAAGTTCATGGCCTCTATGAACGTGAATTCATAATATCAAGAACCTGATTTTGAGTTTGGCAGTTCATCACCAGCAAACTATGATAATCGACATCTTCTCAGAAAGAAATACTTGTGCTGAACATAGAAAACTCCTTTTTGATGTGTGTCTGTGTTATGTGGAAATCAGATAATGGAATGATTAATATATTCAAGACAATAGCTTCACTTAGGTGGGTCCACCATGTATCATTGTTCAAAGAGGCTTTCCCCGTTGAACCATTGCTTGTTGCACTCATACTGAGAAGTGAGAACTATAGCAGTATACTGTTGTGCTGACTTACATATTCGGTGATGTCTGTCCATTATGTAACCGAAGTGATGGGATCTTAGCTCTTAGGATAAGGCCACGAATGCTACTGTGCTATGGTAAATTGAGTTGTAGAAATCAAGAAAAAAGCTGGGGGATAAGGCTCTGGTGAAGGGAATTCACAATTCGTCCTGAACTCCCTTGAACTGAACTCCTTTTTTTTTTATAAACTGAACTCCTATGTTGATGCACATGCTATTTGTTTTTCCAAAATTAGACATCTTTATGGGATGGGCATTTGCTTCCTTGTGTGCATCATATCACCATCGTATGTGTTTGTTTTCTGTTAGGTACACTCTTTCTGCTGCTGTGACTTACATGGCTTCCAAGCGGATAAAGGCAAAGAAGGTCAGGATATAGCAGGAATGGAGTCCAAACTTCCAAATGAACGTCCATTTGCGCATGGTTTCTGCTGCTGCTCTGGAAGATGCCCAAGCTACTGGTTCTTTCGTCTTTGGCTATAAGTATAACTTCGCACTTTTGGTTCCAAGGTGTTGTACATTGACTGTCGGTATCTGAGAGTTGAGCTCAGAGGATACAGCAATTTTGTTAGCCTGATTTCTGATGATTAGAACTTGGAAGGCCTGTAAGGCTGTGGTTTCCTTGTAATATTTTGGCGGGGAGCTTTAGCTGCTTGTTCTTTTAGCATATTTTTTTCATGTTGACTGCTCCACCCGAGAAATCGATGTTCTGTCGCGGGCTCGCGTCGAGGACACGAGCCCAAAACAGACAGCCTGTTCGCTTGCTCGTAAACGATCGTAAATTTTCAGCCGGGAACAGTGTTTTTCTCTGACACCAAACCAGCCAGCAGTAAATAATCCACGATACGATACGGCCTCCCGAACAGGCTGAGAGTTTCTGCCCTGATTATTCATCTCCTGATGGGCTGATGGTGCTTGCACCGGCAGCTCTATTCTACTAGTTGCTATATTATATGAAAACTGACGTCTGAATTAATTGTGTCTTTATCAGTTTCATTTCATGATTGGACATGGCAGCTGATTCATTTTTTTTTTCATTAACGGCTAGTTGCAACTTGCAATGCCCTCTGGAAACAGAGTATTTTGAAAATACTTTGGAGACAGATCTATATGCATGCTCAGATCATTGAGTTCTAAGCTCAATGACATTTGGTTGTACGCACCCTGAAAAGTCAATTAGTACCTATTTTGTACCATGAAGTAATTGTTCATCTCCATTTTGGACAAGATGCCACCAGAGTGACCGAGTAACTGTAGGCATGCGTCGCTTGTGAGCTGTGTGGTGCTGTTTCCAGTTCCACCTGTGCTCTTCTGACCTCTGTTCTTCAGCCTGTTTCTACACGAGAAAAGGCTGGATAGACAGTGAAAATAAGTACGTACTGTATGTCCTGGTAGGACTGATCCATCCACGTTCCAACGAGTCAGGCGCGAGCATAAATTCCCCCTCAAACCTCGAGAGAAAGGCGTGAGAGTGTGAACGCTGAACCGGAAAGGTAGAAAAGAAGGGCCCGGATGGCTCGTACAGTACGCTACTGTGCCGGCCTCTGGCAGTGACAAGGGCGCGTCAGCAATGCGTTGCATGTGACGGTACGCTCCGTGCGGCTTAAATACCCATGCATGCTCTGTCTGTCCGGGTCAATCGATGGCGTATGTGCGTCGAAGTGCCTAGCGGCAGGTCGAGCCCTCTTAATGGCACTGCTGGCTGCTGCCAAACGGTAGAGTACCAGGGACGAACGGACACCGGCATTCGGCCGCTAATCAGATGATGATGATGATTAACCTAACCTAACTGCTCACGGCGGCGGGGCATGAAACCCGGGACCAAACGAGTGACCACATGTCCTGGAGCCGGCAATCGCCGCGGCCGCGGCCGCTCATCGGATCCTTCTCTTGTTCGGATCGCGATCGCGATCGCGATGTGTCCATGCCACGAGCGGTAGCTTTCGCGGGGAACAAGAGGTCACATGACTGGCAGTCTCACTCTCGCAGGAAAAGTCGGGAATAGAGTACGACCCCGGAACATGCCAAGATCGCAGCTGCAGTCTGCTCGTTGCTGATTGGGAAATCACTGCGGCCCCGTCTCTGGGTGCATGTTTAGTTCTCAAAATTTTGCAAATTTTTTTAAAATTCTCCGTTACATCGAATTTTTAGACGCATGAAACATTAAATATAAATAAAAAATAAAACTAATTACACAGTTTATACAAAATTTACGAGACGAATCTTTTAAACCTAATTAGACTATAATTAAACATTAATTATCAAATAACAACGAAAATGCTACAATATAATTTAAAAAAAAATTCGCCAACTAAACCAGCCTTCTGGCGAGGTGAGCCACGCTAGATCGCGCTGTCTGGTTCTTTGTCCTTCGTTCCACTTTCACTGCCGGCAGTGCGATGGGCAGCTCCTAGCCCCAGGACTTTGTTTAGATTGCAAGTTTTTTCATTTTCTCTATATCACATCAAATCTTTAGAAATATGCATGAAGTATTAAATGTAGATAAAAAAATAACTAATTATATAGTTTAATTATAAATTACGAGATGAATTTTTAAGTCTAATTAGATCATGATTGAACAATAATTGTTAAATACAAATAAAAATGCTACAATGTCAAATACTGATTTCTAACCTTAATCTAAATATGGCCCTAGCCAGAGAGAGGGAAAGGGAAGGAGGGAAAGGGGACCTGGAGAGGGCCTCCGAAATGTCAAGGCCTAGCCGCCCTACGGCTACGGCCTACGGCCCTGGTGGTGAAGATGGCATGGAACCATGTGGCGGTCTAGCTCGGGCATGGCCAGCTGCCCTTTTCCTTTCCTTTGCCAACAAAGCTGCCCGCGGCCCGCCACTTCAATGGACTTCCGCTCAATCGCTCCCTTTCTTCGGTCCTTTCCTGATAGGAAAGGGAGGCCAATAAATGCGCTTTCCATGTCGAGCCGATGGAACTTGTACCAGTAGTAACAAAGCTTAAAAGCACCCAGCTTTTTGTATCCAAGCTCCGAATCAACTCCAAATTCGGATATCAGAACATGGAACAGGGCATATCTTGTTCACAAATCTTTTTGAAATATGCTAACCTGACGAGCAGCACGTAATAGTGACACCACATCCAGTTCTTCAGGTTTTCTCAGTTACTGGACCACATTTTCTGGCATTTCATGGCAAGGTCCCCGATCATATCATTTTCACCAAGGATAAACGCGCACAATCATCACCGACATGTGGGGCCACCCGGGGCCCAAATGAGGCCCGGCCCAGTACGAGCCCTCAAAAGCATCGCCCACACGGCGCACCACCTCCCGTTCCCATCCGGCTATGCCTATGCTCCTTGACGGCTTCACACACACCTCCTCTCACCTGCTCACCCACACAGGCAGTCCAAGCACCCGCCCGCCAACCAACCGGCCGCTGCCGAACCTGCAAGCCGCCTCCAGGCTGCTTCCACCGAGGCACACCGCACACGCCAGGCACGCCCACACCACACCACACCACACCGCGCCCAACAAACACTCCTTCCCTCGTAAGCGTCTCCTCGGCTCGCCGCCTCCTCTTCTCGTGTTGGATTTGGCGGGGCGAGGCGGGGCGTGGGCGCGTGGACTGGAGCGGGGGATCCATGCGGCATTGGGATCGACTCCTCCTCTTGGTGAGCAGCCAACCCTAGCTTGCCTGGACGGGAACTTTCTATCACTGTTTTTCGCGATTATCCTCGTGCTTGGGTTTTGTTCCGGGAGATGTTTCGGCTGCATTGAGCATTCCTGTGTCTCCCTCGTTCGTTAGTGGCGGATTTCTTTGCTGCGTCATGGAGGGGAGGATCGACGTGGTCTTCCGTTGCTGCTTGATGCTTGTTGAGTTCGAATAGGTTCGTAGCCTTATTCTTCGGAATTCAGTAAGTTCAGTTCCACGCTGCGTGGGACTTGGGATCCGAGGTGGGGGTGTAGTTTGATTTCTGAGATATGATCGGGAGTCGTCCCCTTGCGTTTTTTTGGGAAACAGAGGTGCTGCATTTTCTCGGGAGATGGTACGGGGGCGGGGCGCCAGAATTCTGCTCTGCTGTTTCCTGAGGTGCAAATAGTGGATGTCTTGTTGCCATGCGATTACTCATGGGCATATCGAGTTCTCCTTTTGTCCCTAATGATTAATCCAATTTTTCATTGTTTGTTTTCGGGGGTTTGGTTGGATGAGATATATCGAGGATGGAATTGATCTCTCTACTATTGTCTGCTGCGTGGTGGGCCATTGCTGCTGTTGACACTTGACGCTAGCATTGGGCGTTGCTGTTCTTGGCGTCCTGTGAGATTGGTGGGTGTTAGGTCTGCAGGAGGAGATAATGTCTGTAATCTTACTTGGAGTTAGTAGGAGCGCTGATCGCAAATGGTTGTTAGCCTAGTCACATCCAGTTCTGCTCTACTGTTGTGTGCCAGAAACTCTGAACCTCCCTTGCGGTTGCTATTCCTATTCATGGTGCTGTAGCTAAAAAAATCCGAGACGTCACTCTAACTTGAGAAATTAGGAATAGAGAACTGCTAAATCTGCCATAGCTCATAGGTCTTCTGTTTTTTTGTTCTCTCTTTATATGGAGCTTTATGTGTTTGCTCATGACTTTATTGCTTAGTATCTAATTACTGATATATGCACTGAGACTCCTTATTTGTCCTTGCTATAGGTCCTGCAGTCTTGAATTGTGGCACGACAGAAGATCCTGAGAGCTAGAGCTGTTTTCTTCTACATTAAGTTAAATTATCTGCACAGCCAAAGATGTCCGCGATCATGTTATGTACCTGCAGTGGGGGCCAGTCCAAGTTTGAAGATCTTCCTCGATCACCAGAATCTCTTGCAACACGTGACTTTTCAGAGAATTGCTCATCTTCCAAGATTGCAAGTCGAGAAACAACTCCTGATGATAGCCAAGTAAATGAAGTAGAATCAGACCTAAAAGAAACCCTTTCCCTAAATTATGAGGTTTGGCTGAACACCTCTGCTCTTCAAACAAGACAGGCTGTCTTGAAAAGATTTGCTCACTGTCTGATTTATTTGCTAATGTAATAGGAGGCCCGAGCATTGTTAGGTAGACTGGAACATCAGAGAGGGAACTTTGATGCAGCATTGCAAGTTCTTCAGGGGATTGATATAAGAAGCCTGAGACCGCGAATGACCAGTGCTATTGCTGAAAGTATCAAGCCTAGAACGCCCCCACGCTCTTCAAGAAGGAAATCTTCACAAGGGAATGGAATGCTCGTGCATATGTCAATGCATTCTGTAAGCTTGCTTCTAGAGGCCATACTGCTTAAAGCAAAATCTCTGGACACCCTTGGTAGAGTAGCAGGTATTCTGGCTGTTTGTTCAATGTGCTTTCTTGTCTTGTACTTAAGCATTTTAATCTGAAATCTGTACAGTACCTCCAGAACCATTTTAATCTGCTATGTATGTGGACCTAGTTATTTTGTTTTATAAAATTGATATAAACTGAACCCTATGTATTTCACAAACTAAAGTCTGTTATGATAGTATTAATAACTTCTGCAACTCAAAGAGCTTTGTTGTATCCATCTGAATTTTTCACCTCATGCTAATGCCTAATATGCTATCTTGCCATCACAGATGCTGCAGAAGAATGCAGAACCATCATAGACATTATAGAGTCTGCATGGCCATATGATGTTCCGGATGGTACTGCTGAAGACTGTAAGCTAATAGACATATTCCATTCGGCTCTAGAATATCTTCCTAAACTGTGGATGAGGAGTGGTTGTTTTGACGAAGCCGTCATCGCATATCGCAGAGCTCTTGCAAAGCCATGGAATCTAGATTCTCAAAGGTCCGCCAAATTGCAAAAAGATTTGGCAGTGACTCTGCTGTATTGTGGTGTTGAAGTGACGTTCCCTCAAGAATTTGCTCAGGAAAGGAGTCTGGTAACCCCTGGGAACAACTTAGAGGAAGCAATTTTGTTGTTACTCATGCTAACAAGAAAGCTATCTCTCCGAGAAATACAATGGGATCCTGACCTTGTGAATCATTTGATGTATGCACTCTCATTATCTGGGCACTATGAAGTTTTGGCCAGCCATCTTGAAATGCTGTTGCCTGGAACCTATACCAGATCAGAGAGATGGTATATCCTTGCACTTTGCTACAGTGCAGCTGGCATGGATGATAGTGCGTTAAACATCATAAGGAATGGTTTTTCTGTGCTGGAGAGAAAGGGAAAGCCTCATGTTCCATCTCTTCTTTTAGGAGCAAAACTATGTTGTAAGAACCCAAAGCATGCTTCTGAAGGGATAAAGTTTGCAAATAAAGCCATGAAGTCTTTCAGAAGTCATGATCTGCATTTCATCAGCACTGCAAAACACTTTCTTGGTGTTTGTTATGGACCTTTTTCTAGGTCGTCCACCTCACACTTGGAGAAATCGAGATTGGAAGATAATGCACTGAGGCTGCTGCAGGATGCTGCCACAACAGCGAAGTATAATCCTGAAATAATGTATAGCCTAGCTTGGGAAAATGCGATGCAGCGCAAACTCAATGCAGCTGTTGAAAGTGCAACAGAATGTCTTGAGATGGTGATGGGAGGTTCTGTTAGTGGCTGGAAGTTACTAATTCTTGTATTATCTGCACAGCAGAATTTGCAAGAAGCTGAAGCAGTAGCGGATTTTGCAATGGATGAAGCTGAGAAAAATGATCAGTTGGATATTTTGAGACTGAAAGCACAAATTCAGGCTTCCCGTGGACAGTTCAAGTCTGCAGTGGAATCTTTTCGGGTTTTGCTTGCCACTATCCAAGTAAAGAAGGAAGTCTGGAAATCGACCACTTGTAATGAGGTACAGTCCTCTCTTCTTTATTTTGAACTCCAACAGCAATACCATGTTTCTTCTTTGCTCATTATCCACATAATCTTGGCAGGTTAAATGCCTACAGAAGTTGGAGATGGACTCATGGTTAGATTTGGCATCAATCTACTCAAAGCTTGAGGCATGGCATGACTCAAACATCTGCCTTGACAAAGCTATATCCATTGATTTCTTTCATCCCAAGTGTTGGCATGTCAGAGGTAACTATTGCTGAAACTTGACTCTGCTACTGTCTGTACAAATATTGAGCTTTCAGTGAATCCTCATCCACAAATGCTATGATCAAACCACTATGCTCATTGTTTTATCAAACATTAAGAAAAATTAAAATGAATTCTTGGAATCTTAACCATTTTCTTCTTTAGGCGGACATAGTGTCGAAATTAGTTTTATCTGCATTTACTTAATTTTTCATGTGCTCTGGACATCAAAGAAAGTAGGGTGGTTCTTGAAACATAATAATACTGTGCTTTTGTATCCCTAATAGTAAAGCCAATATCGTGTTCCATCAAAATCAAATGCATATCTAGGACTGTTATATTTTTTAACTACTGTTATTCGTCTCATGGGTCTAGATTCTTTCCAGGTCTTCTGTTGGAGGCTCAATTCTTGCACAAGGAAGCCCTGATGGCGTTCTCTTTCGCCCTCTCAATTGACCCAGATTATGTCCCGGCCATGGTTTGTATGGCAGGAATTCTCCGAAATATTGGAGGGAATTCACTATCAATTGCAAGAACTTACTTGCGCAATGCCCTCCGTTTAGAGCCTACACACCACCGAGCCTGGTTGATTCTTGGGCTTGTCCTAAAAGCTGAAGGATCACTGCAGGAGGCTGCGGACTGCTTCAAGGCAGCATATGAGCTCAGAGAATTGTCACCAATTCAGGACTTCTCTGAGCAACTCCCGATCATGCTGCATTAGGAACCTATAGCAAAGGATGTTCACAGTTTTTTATGTGGATTTTTTCCCATAGTTGTCTCAGTTATTAATTTATCGCTTGCAAAGGTAGGAAGCATATATGATTTTGTGAATGTAAATTAATCCACTTATGTTCGTGAGCAAATTTTCCCGGTCTTGAAAACAGCAAAGTTATATATGGTTCTCCAGCAGCATAAAGCTGAACTTTTGCACAATGCTCTTCATATAGGCTGCGCGCTCCGGACTTCTCCGGAGTGGAGTATTAACCAAGACAATTCAGGGCTTGTCCTAGCAATTGGGCTATCCTGCATTTGGAACACTGGACAAGGTTCACAGTTTTCCCAGCAAACTCAGTTTTACCTTTCGCATTCCTTCTGCCGTTACCGCTTGCAATTTGGTTATGCTCCGTATGGTTGACAGGATTGCAACGGATTAATTGAGTTGGAACTCAAATCCAAATCCAGAGAATTGCATTGTCGTCCCCCGTTACCGCTTGCAATTTGGTTATGCTCCGTTTGGTTGACATGATTGCAACGGATTAATTGAATTGGAACTCAAATCGAAATCCACAGAGAATTGCAATGCCGTCCCATTCTAATTCTATTGTTTGATTGGCACATGAATTGTAATTTGGAAAACAAATGTGATGATTTTTCTAAAAAAAAATCCTATTCATGTTTTGAGCCTTTATTACTTGGATCGCATAGAATCCTCAATCATGAACTGTCAGCATCATCGAGACGAGGCCGTGGACGCGGCAGTGCAACAGCACATGACAAGGATTTAGTATTTTGAAATGAGCATTGCCCACTATCATCGATGTCCATATTATACAATTTAACTGACAATGTAAAAGTTATCATTCCCATATGCCCCAGTATCAGCTAACAATAAATAACAGGATGGAGTACAAGAAATCCTTTCTAATATTTTAAACCAACACCCCTCAGAAGAACATACGCTAATCACTACTTTTGTGGTATATCCGGAAGGCTAGGAATGACAAGATTCAACAATAAAACCTAGACAGTGTTGAAAGTGAATGAAAATGAACAAGATTTGGGAACAACTAAACTGCTTTCATTGATCTCTTATATATATATATACAAAGTGAAGGGGTGTGTCTGTACGGACACAACTGTTAGTGTCCAAAGGACATGTCCCTTTGGTGACAATGGTTAACTGTCTATACTAATCCTAACTGTCTCTATCAATGGATGAGATCATCCCTGTAAAACGATGTTGTTTGGATGGATGTGTCCCTTCGTCCATTCGGCCAGGGGGTGACGTTTTACAACACTCCTCCTTGATCGAATCTTCTTTGAGATTAATGTAGCTGTATGTTTGAATTCCTCGAAAAACCCCGTGGGAAAAATCTGAGGAATATGTATGTATAGATATGCTATAAAAACTCATTTAAACCTTATAGGAAAATAAGGAGAAAATAGCATATATGAGTGTGATTTAAATAAATCACTATGTCATTGGTATCCCATTAAAAACCCAGTGGGGAAAAATATTGGAGATACGACATATAGATTACTTCCCCAAAAACCTTTTCAGGAAAAATATGAGAAGCAATATAAAGTGATATGTCGCTAAAACTCCTGTAAAAATCCCAGTGGAAAAATTAGGAGAAAATATGACGACATATTATTGGTATTGCCTCTTGGATAACTCACATGAAAAACATTTTCAGGGAAAAACCATGTATGAGTTGTGAGGGCAATATGTATCTTTGATATTTCCCACAAAAACCCCGGTGGGAAAAATAGAAAATATGACACATGCTTATGTTAATATTACCTCATTAAAAACTTTAACAAGAAACCTTATAAGTAAAACTTGTGTAAAAGAAAAGAGTATAATATGATGCTGGTATAGGTCAACATTTAGGAGATATCTCCCCCTGATTCTAGCAAATCTTGAAGTCACCGCATACCAATTCCATGTACCAATTTTTGAAATACAGAAGTTGGTAAGACTTAGTAAATAGGCCCGCGAGATTATCACATGACTTGATTTGCAAGATGTTTATTTCCCCATTTTCTTGTAATTCATGGGGATAAAATAGTTTAGAAACAATATGCTTAGTGATATTGCTCTTTATGTAACCTGATTGCATCTGTGTAACACAAGCGGAATTATCTTCATAGATAATTGTAGGTGATTCGATTGAACCAATACCACATGACTGTTGTATGTGGTTAATCATTCTGCGAAGCCATACACATTCTCGTGATGCATCGTATAGAGCAATAATTTCAGAATGATTAGTAGAGGTTGCTGTCAGAGTCTGCTTAGAGGACTTCCATGAAATAGTTGTACCTCCATGTAGGAATACAAATTATATTTGTGATTTTCCGTTATGAGGATAAGATAAGTAACCAGCATCAGTATAACCAATCATACTAGGATCATGATTTTTCTTGAAGAATAAACCAAGATCCTTTGTGCCATTAAGGTATCTGAGGATACACTTCGCTCCCGTCCAATGACGGCGAGTTGGGTCCGCACTATGCCTAGCTAGTAAGTTCACTGCAAATGCGATATCAGGCCTGGTGCAATTTGCAAGATACATAAGTGCGCCAATGACACTGAGATATGGGATCTCTGGTCCCAACATCTTTTCCCCAATATCCCGTGGTCTAAATGGATCTTTCCCTATTTCTAAGGAACGAACAACCATCGGAGTTTTATTAGGATATGATTTATCCACATTGAATTTCTCCAATATTTTCTAGATATAGGCTGATTGATGCACTAAAATCCCTGAAGGACGGTGCTCAAGTTGTAAGCCTAGGTAATACTTGGTCTTACCCAAATCCTTCATCTCGAATTCCCTCTTTAGATGTTTGCGTGCTTCATCTATATCCTTTGGGCTGCCAATGATATTTAAATCATCAACATACACGGATATAATACAAAATCCCGTTCAAGATTTCTTAATGAAAACACATGGGCAATCATCATTGTTAGAGTATCCTTTCTGTAGAAGGAATTCCCTCAGTCGTTTGTACCACATTCGTCCCGACTGCTTCAAGTCATATAATGACTTTTGTAGTTTTACACAATACATGTTGCGATTTGCGTTTGGATTTGGAATTTGGATTCCATCGGGAACCTTCATGTATATGTCCGAATCAAGTGACCCATATAGATATGCTGTCACCACATCCATCAACTGCATAGATAGATGATTTTGAACTGCCAATGATATTAAGTATCGGAAAGTAATTCCACCCATTACTGGAGAATATGTTTCATTGTAATCAATGCCGGGTCTCTGCGTGAAGCCATTGTGCTACTAGCCTCGCTTTATATCTCACCACCTCATTGTTCTCATTCTGTTTCCGGACGAAAACCCATTTAAAGCCTATAGGAAAGACTTTGAAAGGTGTAGATATTGCAGATGTGAATACCCCTCTTCTAGTGAGCGAAGCTATCTCAGCTTGAATTGCTTCTCTCCATTGAGCCCAGTCCGAGCGCTTTTTGCACTCTGCCATGGTCTTGGGATCTGGATCATTGAGAAAGATTTCTGCAATTGCTGCGGAGAAGTACATGTCGACAACAGTAGTCTTACGATCGTATGATTCTCCAGAATCTATGTAATTGATGGAAATTTCTTTCATCCCATTATTTGACTCAACGTTTCCCAAAACTATGGAGTCAGGGTGTTTCGATATTCCAGGATCAGAATTTGGATGCACCGTTGATCCAGGTTGTGGATTTGGTCCTGATGTTGGATTTTTATCCACTATTGGGTGTCTACCAACTTGAGGTTGGCTTGGATTTACTGATTTGGAGGATTTAGCCCTCGGTATCCTCGAACGCTTACTTGTAGCATTATCCTTAGGAGCGGCCGTACTTCTCCCCCTCTTCTTTGCAAGTGGGAGTTGAATGGTTTTTATTGGTACCTCCACTCTTTCAGGCGCATTGCGAGCAGGATAAGAGGATTTAGTGACACCCTTATAATCAGTAAATGCTTCTGGCAGGTTATTTACAATATGTTGCAAGTTTATGATTTTCTGAACTTGTTGTTCAGTCTCTAGAGTACGTGGATCTGAGGGGGAAATGCCTTGGGCATTCCAGATGATTTCCTGGCATTCGTTTTGGTACTTGAAATCTCTCCCTAATGCCGGGAAATGGTCCTCATTAAATATGCAGTCAGCGTATCGAGCCGTGAATAAGTCCCCTGTAAGAGGCTCGAGGTAGTTGATAATTGATGAAGATTGATATCCCACATAGATACCAAGTTTCCTCTGTGGACCCATAGAAATACGCTTAGGCAGTGAGATCGGTACGTATACAGCGCAACCGAATTTTCGCAGATAAGAAATATTTGGCATATTTCCACGTACTAATTGCAATGGAGAGACTACATGATATGCAGTTGGTCGCAATTGAATTAAGTCAGCAGCGTGTAAGACTGCATGACCCCAACATAAAGTTGGTAGATTGTAATTTTGTAATAACGGTCTTGCAATGAGTTTAATTCTCTTAATAAGAGATTCTGCTAAACCATTTTGTGTATGGGCATATGGGACATAGTGCTGAACTTGAATTCCCAAAGCCATACAATAATCGTTAAAAGCCTTTGAGAAAAATTCAGCAGCATTGTCCATTCGAATTGATTGAATTTGATGTTCAGGATGATGCGCTCTAAGTCTAATAACTTGAGCAATAATTTTTGCAAAAGCATGGTTACGTGTGGATAAAAGACACACATGAGACCATCGAATAGATGCATCTATTAGAACCATGAAGTATCTGAACGGTCCAGACATTGGTTGTATGGGGCCACAAATATTTCCTTGAATTCGTTCAAGAAATTTTAGTGGCTCATTTTGGATCTTAACGGGTGATGGCCGTACGATCAATTTCCCTGTAGCGCATGAAGTGCACATAAAATCTAAAGATTTTGGGAATTTAGCAGTATTTAACTCATGACCTTTAGAATTGCTGATAATTTTTCGCATCATCCCTATACCAGGATGGCCAAGCGTTCATGCCAAATTTTGAATGCGTCAACATTCTGAAAAATTATCTTGTATGCAACATGCGGTACGGGTTTGATGTATGTGTAGTACAATCTGGACGGAAAAGATGGAATTTTCTCAACAATTCGTTTGCCATATCCGTTATTTTTAGTAACAAGGAGAATTTCCTCATTATTGTCATCACGGGTTTCTATATGAAAACCATTTTGACTTATATCTCTATAACTTAACAAGGTACGCTTTGAATCGAGATACAATAATGCATCCTCAATTGTAATTTGGGTACCCATGGAGAGTACAATAGTAGCACGAACAGAGCCAACTATCGTAGCATCGCGTCCGGCGATTGTTAAAACATTTCCTTGTCTTTTTGTAAGAGTTTGAAAATACTTTGTTTCTCTAAGTATAGAATTAGTGGTACCACTGTCCACTAGGCAAAATTCCTCCTCCATCAGATTTACCCCCGTAGAAACTATATATAAATAAAGAATTTGATATGAAACTCTTTGATGATATATAGAATACATACGTTATTTATTGAATATCAAATGTGTATATTACATTTATTGGATATTCAAACCAAATAGTGATGACATTATTAAATATTTACAACACATAGGACATAAATTGTTTTAACTATTATAATCACTAGGACATAAAGACACTAGAATCTAAGGGATTGGGAGCCTATTCAAAGTCTCCAAATACGTCGTTGGATGCATATTCCACGATCATATTCCCCGTACCAGCAAGATCCTCGCCTCCTCGTATGTTGTTGCTGCTTGGTTCCATTGGAACTTGTTGCGAACAACCAGCCTCATTCCTGGTGGTGTCAGGTCGAATGTTGAAGTGGGCTTCATACTTCTGTCCTGGTGCAGCACGTCCGCGACCCACAGACTTTAAGTAGAGATCAACAAGATGACTTGGGGTATGGCATTTCTTTATAATATGGCTATAACAACCACACTTCTGACACACAGGTTTGTCATTTCTATTTTTGGAAATGTTCTTACCCTTTGTTGAAAACACGAGTTTGGGATTTCTTATTGCGTCTACGTTGTTTTTTACCTTTCTTGGAATTTTCCTGAGGATGGGTCTTAGAAAGTCCACCATCAAATTTGGGTTTATTCTGAGTGTAAGCATGTACTTCAGGCAATGGAGCAGACCCTACGGGGCGCTGCTGATTATTCTAAACCATAAGTTTAGAATGTTTTTCGGCCTCAAGTAAAGTTTGTATAAGCTCAGAATAAACCTAGAAACGTCTTTCACGGTATTATTGTTGAAGAATCCTTTCAGAGAGAAGCATAGTAGACAGAGTCTTCTCTATTTTATCCGTATCTGTAGGTTTTTCTCGCAGAATTGCAACTTTGAGCAAATCCTATGAACAGCATGGTTGTAATCACTCACAATTTTAAAATCCTGTAAGCGAAGTTGCGTCCACTCATAGTTGGCCGCAGGCAGGACAAGTGTCTTTTGTTGTTCATAGCGTTGCTTAAGAGAATTCCATATATTTCATGGGTTCTCTTCCAACAAGTATTCAGCCTTAAGATCAAGATGAATATGGCTCCTAATGAGATATAGGGCCATGTATACATGTTGATCATCAAGAGGTGCAACACCCTCTTCGGGTGGTAACATAGCTCGATAAAGTTCACGGAACGCAAGACTAACCTTTACGTCCATAGCCCATGTGGGATAATTGTGGCCGTCTAGAGTAAGCAAATCAAACTCTTTGACAGTCATTGATCCTACACGAGGCAAACCATCAAAATATTTTAAGTTATTAAAATGTTGTGGTGTGTTGTAATTATGGGATGCAAGATAAAGACAAGATAAATCTGATATTATTAATGGTGTAAAGATCTCATGTGCATAATAAAATAATGGAGGTAGTCACCATAAAAGTGTAGACCTCAAATTGGGCATAGTCTGTATTACCAGTAGATGCCAAGTAATTATGCAAGTTGTATAAACACGTCTTAAGGTAGTCATCAAAAATGATGTAGACCTTAGTCAATTCGCAAACGAATTGGGTACGTACGTTGATGATAGTCACTAAGTTATGGACTTAGTGTAGATCCCACAGTAGCAACTATGGTGTTACCTTGTGTATGGCCAATAAGAATGTGAATTGATGGTAGTCATCTTTGTGAAAAGATGTAGACCAAATGTTCTCATTTGTAATGTTGGGTACGCACGTTGAGGATAGTCACTAAGTGTTTACTTAGTGTAGATCCCACAGTAGCAACAATGGTGCTATCTTGTGTATGGCCAACAAACAAATAGGGAACATGCGCGTTATACAATTGATGAGAAAATTTACATAAAATATCGCATCCATTATTTAAGCGCGTAGTGCTTTAAAGTCAAAAGCATAAAAAGGGCTTAAATAAAATGATAGATTGCAAAATTGATTAATGAATAAATAATTTGCAAGATCATGGTCGTAATAACAAGGATATTATTTATTGGATTTGTCATACATACAGGGACAAATACTTTGAATAATATCATAAATGGATATTTTACAATGATAAAATATCACAAGTACAACTATAGTTAAAGTCAGCGACTAAACACAAGAGTACTTAATTTTACAGCACATAATTATAAGAGACTAATAGAGTCTTATACGAATTAATGCTGAAATGAAATAAATAAAAATAGAATGAGTCACTTGGGCCAAAAGAATCAGGAACACATTTTCGGCCCAGCCTGGCCCATTCGAGTGCACAGTGGACAGCAGGGAGGGAGGGCAGGGCGTAGGCCATTTGGGCCGGCCCATTTGCGCGCGTGGGCCTTTAAAAGCAAGGAGCAAGCGGCGGTTAGGGTTTTAGCCCTAACCGCTCGCCGCCGCTGTCTCCTCGGAGACCGCCGCTGCTGCCGCAAACCACTTCTCCGTCGCCCTCCACTGCGCCACCGCTGCTTGTCTTCAGTTCGAGGAAGAGTCCCCGTCCTCCGGGGAGAAGAAGCCGCTGCCGCCGCTTGCCATGTTGAGCACCTCCGCCGACGGGAGGCCGAGCACGTCTGGTTTCCATGTCCCCCGGCGGATCCCTGGGCGCCTGTCCACGGCAGCCACCCTACGGCCGAGAAGGCGGCGAATCGTGGGGGGCGTGGTGGCTGTGCCCTCAGTCGAAGTTGGAGGCACCGTCGGGAGAGCCTGCGCCTTCATGCGGGCGACAGCTTCAGCGCGTGTCGCGGCCGAGGAAGCGGCCGCCGGATCTTCGCGGCGTCAAGCGCGGGAGCAGCCCGCGTGTTCAGAAACCACGGATCTAGCGGGGGAACGCCGTTGCCTGTCGCCACTGGAGTCGGAGAGGCTGGTGTGGGCGTCGGCAGTGAGTACGAGTACTCGAGCGTGTGCGGGATCGAGGTGAACTCCTTGCAGAAGTCACACCAGAAGCGAGGCGGTGATGGTGCCGGCAACATCGGCTCCATGGGGACGTACGCGGCGACTGGCTCGGCAACCACTTCTTCAACGGGCGGCGCCGGGGCTTCAACCGCTGCGGGCGCAGCGTTGCTGGGGCCGGCACCGTCCAAGCCAAGGCGAGGAGATGGTGGATGGCTCTGCAGACGGAGATCGCGCGGAGAAGCATGGCGGCCACGAACTGGAGTCCAGCGGCGGCGAGGAACTGCATTGGAACGGAGGCCACAAACAGCGGAGTTGAAGAGGCGGCCGAAAGGACCATGGCCATGACCATGGGCACTGTTGCGGCGAACACGAGGCCCAAGGCGCTCGAAGACGCTGCGGCGTTGTCCATGGCGGCCATGGTGGCGGATCGGGCCACGACGAACTCCACCGACACGGCGAAGTGCGAAGAACAGTTGACGAACAGCATGAGACGGTAAGTCTATCTTCGCCATGCTTACCGATGTGTGTTCAGAGGCCTTTGTTGCCTCTGCGTCGTCGTTCTCTGTCTTGTCCAGTAGAGCAGTGCTGATGACGTGTTAGAAAGTAAATGAAAATGAACAAGATTTGAGAACAACTAAACTGCTTTCATTGATCTCTTAGATATATATACAAAGTGAAGGGGTGTGTCCGTACGGACACAATTGTTAGTGTCCAAAGGACATGTCCCTTTGATGACAATGGTTAACTGTTTATACTTATCCTAACTGATTCTATCAATGGATGAGATCATCCCTGTGAAACGATGTCGTTTGGATGGATGTGTCCCTTCGTCCATTCGGCCAGGGGGTGACGTTTCACAACAGACAGTTTGGTAGGTACATCACGCGGCCACGGCAGATATCATTGCCACCTCGCCATCTGTGATGCAGGACGGTGAACAAGAACTGCAATGACATCCACACTCATGGACAGCAACTTTCAAACCTAGGTATGACACCTGTAACTGCAGGTTCAAACAATGACGGACAACAAAGGGAAACGAAATTGATGCTCCTCCAACAGAGATGGAGAAGCACAGATGCAGCGGACACAAGGAACATCAGCAGCAACAAGCCAACAACCCATCCAACACACCTCTCCATAGGGTCATGCTTCCGATGTTTTTGCCAGGGACGAGATGCTACACAGATGCTTCAACGGACTCAGATCAAGCGCAGCAGCTCTCCAGACCCGCTTGGGCTTGGGGTGTTCATTATAAACACTCAGCAACAGCTAACAATATCCATGTATATCAAAGCAACAATGCCAAGCTCTACCTCGGTAATCATGGCTGAAGCAGCAGCCTTTGCGCTGGCAGCATCACTCATCTCTGCAATGCACATGCAAGCTCCGATCTATCACAGACAATCAGCAATTGGTGAATTTCTACAATAGAACAGACCACTCTTCGCCACCTCACTGGAGCATCAAATTTTACACTCAGAAGTTCATCAATCACAACTCTGCAAACAACTACAAGGTCTTCAAGATCACAAGAAGCCTAAACACTACGGCACACCTACTAGAAACTCAGGCTCGCCATACTACAATCTTGCATTCACATGTACCATCTATAGCCTGCCCAAATCAGGCTCATGCAATCAGATGCCCCTTAAGGGAGGCTTTGAACTAAGTACCTTGGGAGCGCTTCTCCCTCTTAACAGCTTTTTGCTGTTCAAATAAATTCTGCTGGTTATAAAAAAACAATAAATAAGCAGAGCAGAGCATACGAATGAGAAACTGGATTATCAATAACCAGACAGAAATAAGCATGCACACAATAGTACAGCAGTAAACACAAACATCACCACAAATAATCTTAACACTTCTTACGAATAATCTTAAAATACTTGTTTTGAGACAATCTTAGGGCCAGAAGAAAACAGGTATAGCCAAGGCAATTCAATGAAGTTCACGTCATAAGCAACCTCCTGTCCAAAATCATCTAGATATTATAGAAGTAGTAGCAAATAAACTACTCGGCAGCAGCAACCTCCTGCCCAGCCTCATCTCCCTCAACAGGCCTCTCAAGCTTGACACCCACATCCTCTTTGTAGTCACCATGAACCTGAGAAGCAACAAGTGTTAGGATGACAACAGGGAGGTTGACTGGAAAAATTATTACTATGCATTTAGCAATTACCTCCATGAGCTTCCCGAGATCAAACTTGGGAGCCTTGAGTATCTTCACCTTGCGGATGAAGACATTTTGAAGTGGGAATATGCTGGAGGTGGACTTCTCAATTTCTTTACCAATGACTTCTGGAATGAACTTTGAAACAAGCTCTTTCAGGTCACATGTAGAAGCCTGGTTGGCCATAATCTCAACCATCTTGCGGCGGATCTGCACACAGTACATGGCACTAGTATAAAGATAACAGGCAAACATAGTTGAGGAAGGTTTGATGTACAAGAAATTGCTAGAGTTTTTTAATTCTGCAATGTATGCTACAGGGACAGATTTAATTCTGCAATGTATGCTACAGGGACAGAAATGTATGTTACCTGGCGGATCTGGGAAGCCTGAGCGTAGCAGGTTCTCTTGACCTGGTTTGGACGCCTCTTGGTGAAGCCAATGCAGAACAAGCGCAGCATGTAGTTGTCAGTTGTCTTGACATCAACATGGGCTTCAATGAGTGTCTGCCACTTCCTGACCAGGGATCTGAGTTTATCGGTGGTAAAAGACATACCCTAACAATAGAGAGAACAAGTTAGCGATTGAAAACACAGTAAAAGCACAACAGCTGTGAGCAATAGAATGCTGATCATTACCCAAAAGTTTGTGAGCACATTCCTGCCTTGCACATCTTCAGCACGGAGCCTGATTTTCCTGTAAGCCTGATCCTCGTCACCCTGAAGATCAGCGAGGCAAACCTCAAAGACTCTGTGCTTCAGACCCTCAGAAGCAATCTAAAACAACAGAAAAGATACATGAATCAGCAAATTAGACCATCAAGTAATGTATCTACGAGACCCAGATACTGGTAAATCATATCAAAATCACATCACTGTTTTATCATATTCAGACAATCAGGATACACAGCTTTATTTGCAAGTCCAACAAGAATGGCCAGGATCCAAAATGAATAATAAAAGATCACATTTATCAATATAATTCAATATGAATCACTTTATCTTGCGATCGGTAAACCATATGAACATCACATCACTGTTTATCATATTCAGAGCACCAGGATACACCAAGGCTGTATGCGCAGGTCCAACTAGAAAGGTCAGGATGAAAAATGAAGATCATATTTATCAATATGAATCACTTCTGGATGATATCCTGTGATCGGAATGCTATTGTGCTACATACAGTCAACAAATTACTATTACCTCAGTATCATAATGTGGGTTTTTAGTTCTGTCTTAAGCAAAACTTCTATAACTCTGACCAAGTTTTCAGGAAAATATATTAACACCTACAGTATCAGATAAATTCACCATCAAGGCATTTAAAGTTGGATCTAATGAAATTATTTGATGGTGTAGATATCAGCACATGTTTCTACAAAAACTCGTTCAGAGTTAGAAAACTTTGACTTAGAACAGAAGTAAAATGACCGATTTTTGGATTAGCGGGAGTACCAAACTATGCATGAACTCAAGAAGTACATCATTTGTCTTCTAAAACATTTCACTGACAGATCAAAACATGCCTTTTTCACATATAACCGACAGGCAAAGAATTTCATCTTTAGAGATAGGAAAACAGCGACAATATATGCACAAGTTCACACCACCAGAACGTTGGGAAGTACGAAAAAACAAGGAGAACGAAAGAAAAACATACCCTTGTACCCTGTGTCCTGGACACGAGAGTCTTCCCAATGTTGCGCACACTGAACACCGACGGGGCCTTGATGTCATACCAATCCTTCTTGGAGAAGGGGTCGACGCTGTACAGACAAAAAGAATACAGACACACCATCAGCAGATGCAAAAGAAACGAAGCAATTGACCGGAGAAAGATCTGAAGAACGGGAAGAACAGGCAAGCAAACTCACGTCTTCTTCTTCCCACCCTTCTTTCCCTTGGAGATCCTCTTGTTCTTGCCGACTGCCATGGTTGCCGCCGCGTGCGCTAGCCCTGGCCGCTACCGCGCGGGCTCGCCCTGGCCGCTGGCTGTAAGGTAGGCGGAGTGGGCGAGATCGAGAAGATAGGGCTGGCGGCGGTGAGGGAGGAGTGGGCGAGTGGCGGCCGGGAGATATAGGGCTGGGGGCGGCGACGGAGGAGTGCTCAAACCCTAAGTTCTGGTGTTTATATGTGAACATCGCTATCGGGCCTTCTAGGGCTCGGCCTTTTTTCCCAGGCGGGTAAAGAGTCCCACCTCCGTTCGGCCCATATGCGTGCTTTGAGAGAAGGCCGTGACTAGGGATGAAAACGGATCGGAGCAAAAGACTGCACCTCATATTATAAAGGCCGGTGATTCGGACACGAATAGCGGTATATACGAATATGGATTGACTCCCGAATAATGAGTATCGAATACGGTATGAAGATTGAGAGGCGGATACAAATATCTATTCATATATATATATATATATATATCTAAACCATTACACCACTCTATGAGTCCATAATCCATCTAGATTAAGTCGAAAGACTAAAGAGTAAAGCAACAAATAAGATAAAGATACAGATACATCATACATCAAACATTCTGAAGCACCAATCTTGGCGGCATGAGTAGAAATAGCCAAGCTCATGGCTTCATGGGTCTCATGGAGTCATGGTCATGGATTCAAGATCTACAATCCTTATATAGGCCATTTTTTTATTTGAGAAAATTTAAATAAAATGTAGTTCAAATTTCATAAGTATGTGACATAGTTTTAGAAAGTCTATATGAGATTTAAGAATTTGTGACTAGTGTTTGATAAAACTTTCTCAAATAGGAAAATGAACTATGTAACAATTGTAGATATTGCTAAGATGATCAAACTTGGTATTCAGAGTTTTTTCATCTGAGGTCATTTAGTGTCTCATTTGAGCAAGTTTGACCAAGTCAAATTTGGTCAAATGAAAAAACAACACTTTGACTCTGGTATTATGAACTCTAAATGACTTCAAATTGAAAAGTTTTGAATACCAAGTTTGTTCAACTCATCAAGATCTACAATTCTTGTTTTGGTCAACTTTCCATTTGAGATAGTTTGGATGGTTCAAATTTGTGATTTTTAAATTTTGATGCTTACAAACTAGTTTTCGAAACCCTAGATTGTCTCAAATTGAAAAGTTTTGAATACTAAGTTTGTTCAGCTCATCAAGATCTACAATCCTTATATAGGCTATTTTTTCATTTGAGAAAGTTTGAATAAAATGTAGTTCAAATTTCACAAGTGTGTGACATAGTTTCAGAAAGACTGAGATTCAAGAATTTGTGACTAGTGTTTGATAAAACTTTCTCAAATGGGAAAATGAGCTATGTAACAATTGTATATCTTTCTGAGATGATCAAACTTGGTATTCAGAGTTTTTTCATCTGAGGTCATTTAGTGTCTCATTTGAGCAAGTTTGACCAAGTCAAATTTGGTCAAATGAAAAAACAACACTTTGACTCTAGTATTATGAACTCTAAATGACTTCAAATTGAAAAGTTTTGAATACCAAGTTTGTTCAACTCATCAATATCTATAATTGTTGTTTTGGTCAACTTTCCATTTGAGATAGTTTGGACGGTTTAAATTTGTGATTTTTAAA